AACCAAGGGTTACATGAAGCCGAACAGCGATAGCCCAGGTCAGAGAAGGACGGAGGGAAATCGTTAAAAAACTGTAAAGGCCTGATGGTGTCACCACATCCCAAAAGGGATTAGGACTGAGGAGGAGGAGGAGGAGAAACATCTGTTGTATCATTTGCCATTCGTGTAAGAAATGAAGACTGGTAGCAATCAAATGGAAGGAATTTTATCTGCGGGCTGCTTCCTGAACGCCCGAATAATGCCGTAAGTTCGCGTCTGTAGAGCGACAAGTTCGAAAAAATCATAGTTAATGCGTGTCGTTTCCATAATAACCGGATGCATTTATCGGTGGGAAATCAATCCCTAATATAGTGTGGACGCTTAAAACAAAGGGCACCTTAAAGGGCGAAGCCCCGTAGGCATCATTATAAAGCCGTCAGTATGATTATAAACCGTTAGGGGATTAGCAGTGATTTTTATTTTTTCGGCAACATATGACTTAAAGGAAAAGTCGCCTAACATTGGATAGTTGCCTAATATTGGATACTGCGTTATCTCAAAACCTATTAACAATTTTCTATAATTAAATGCACAAAACTAAAAGTTTCTAACATGAAATGGTTCTGTGTAAACTATATAGTTCCATTGTATACTACTAGATGGAACCATATAATTATATGTTTTTTCGTGATACTCGTTATTTATCAACTGAAAACTGTTATAAAAAAGGTAAGTACTGACAGTATTAAAGTGAAATTTGGCAAGTATATTCTTAAATAGTTGTAAAATAAGTTTCAATATTTAAATTGAACATATCTGCCAAGTATTTTTTATTTTATTCACATAACTTGAACATGAAGGTTGCCTCATTTTGGATAGGAAAGCGCTTTTTTCAGTAAAATGACTGCAAAACGACTACCACATAAAAAATGGAATCCAGAAGATATGAAAAATGCTATGGATGTTGTTAAAAGTAAACAAATGGGATACTTAAAGGCGTCAAAGTGCTTCAACGTTCCCAAATCAACCATCGATCTATATGTGAAACGTGGCAAAGACTCAAAAGAACAATTTGTGCTACGAATGTGCCGAAAACCAGTTTTATCGGCAGAAATGGAAGAAGACTTGGTATAGTACTGTTTGGAAATGAACAGAAGATATTATGGTCTAGTAATTGCAGACGTTCCGAGATTATCATACCAGCTAGCTATCAGAAACCCCAGAAAAATATAAACAGTTTTTTTTATATTCTGGAACCAGCTATGGAGAAGATAAATTTCAACCCCCTAAGAGTGTATAATGTTGATGAAACAGGTATCACTACCGTACAATCCAAGATTGCTAGTGTCATCACCCTAAAAGGAAAAAAACAAGTAGAAGCCGTAACTGCTGCAGAAAGAAGGGCACTAGTAACTGTAGTTACGTGCATGAATTCTGCCGGAGGATTCGTTCCTCCGTTATTTGTATTCCCACGCAAAAATATGAAGGCCGAACTATTAGAAAGAGCTCAGCTGGGTCAATTGCTGATTGTCACCCTTCAGGATGGATACAGAGCCACATCTTTACGCGATGGATGCAACATTTTATCAATCATGTAAAACCTTAAAAAGACAATCCCGTGTTGCTCATTCTTGAGGGCCATTATAGTCATACACGGAATCTGAATGTTATAGACTTAGCGAGAAAAAATTATAATTCTTGTATGCATCCCTCCCCATACATCAGATAAAATCCAACGGTTAGATTTGTGTTTTATGTCTCTATTAAAGACATACTATTCAAGAGAAACTCCAAATTCGTTAAAGAATAATCCTTCTCGAAATGTAGGACCCTTTCAGATAAGTTCATGAATCTGCCCTGCTTATCAGAAATCTGCTACTGCTGAGATATCAGCCAATGGGTTTCCGTAAAGCAGAAATTTATCAACTCAATCGAATATCTTTTCAGACGCAGATTTTATTTTAGAACAACAAAGAGAAAGTACTCCACCTCGACAATATACTTCTGATACTCCTTTGCCATTGGAACCAAATCACACCAGTAGCTCAATTCAACTGTCTATTGAATAAACTCCCATAAGTTGTTTTTATTAATGTTATAGCTTTTTATGTAAAAAAAATTATTCTAAAATATTTTCTTGACCCAAAAAATTCAATTAAAAAAAGTATCCAATATTAGGTGCCTTTCCTCTACTACTAAATTTTGCGGAAAAACCGTTTGATAAAAGAAAGGTATGTTCATGTAAGTCAACAAGATATACTTACTCCTTGATTAAGATCGTCTGCTTTGTTGACAAGTAGTTCTAATTTTTCTCCTCTCATTGTAATGTTATCTAAAAATCAATGATTTTATAAAATAGATTTGTAGGTACCGTTAATTATGTTAAAATTTGTTAATATTATTGTTTATACATAGCGCACCGTAAAGAACTCTAAAAACTACTAGATTTAGCTTATTAGTGTAACATAAATTGAACAACAATTTTATTTTTGGTTGTTGAAGAACTAGCACAACATACTAAAATTAGATAAAGGTTCAGAGGCATGTATGAAACGCGCCGGTATGGAACTGTGAATACGAGTTCGCCATATGAGACGCAGGATATACATGTCCCAATAGCTAATACAGAACAGTCCTATGGGTATGTAGGACCACATTGCAGGTGTGAATAAGGTATAATCAAATAAACACCTGAGGATCAACTAAAAATAAGACTATGTCATTAACTGTAGATTTGTGATTGAACATAACACACATGTGCGTAGTGCATACACATATCCAAACACACAATACACATACACATCTGCTCAATCGGAAATCAACCAGACAGTCACACCACAACTGATTCACCATACAGTGAGATTTGTACTGCTTCTACTGCACTCCTTAATTTCGAAGTATAACACCATCATGTCCATGGAATGCATGACACAGCGGAAAAGTGTTGCATAAGCGATACCACAGTGATCAGACACACTCTGAGCGATTGTATGGGACACTGTCGTATCTTACAGCATTTCGTTCCAACTCTTTGAAATAAAATGGAGACGAGAGAAAAGAAATCTCCAACATATGACTCGGAAATGAGCGACTCTTCCACATATAAGCATATAGAGAGGCGATTTCGACCGCAGATTCTGTCTCTGCTCCAAAGAGATCTCAATAATCGCGACCAGCGTCCTATAGAGGAACCTTCAGCACATTAAAAATCAAAAGCCTACCAAAAAATACCAAAAAGCGTATGAAGACGAAACAGACAAATCGTAATTCGTGTAATGAAGAAGAAAATTTTATCTGGTATAAAGTATTACTTGATATATTGTGATATTTTTCTATTGTACACAGTCTGAATAGAAGATAATGTTTGAGATCCCGTTTACAAGTGGTAGAAAAAATAGATAGGAATCACTTACCAATATTTTTGACCATTATATTCTTTAACTCATCTAATTCGCTGTGTACTCTCGATATTGTGTCGAGATCATGAGATTCTGAGTAAAGTTTCATTTCAGTAGCCAAAACTGTTGAGAATTCTGAATTCATAGCATAGGCAATAGCTGTCTCTGCACTTGCTCCATATGTGGATTGGAATCTTCTTTTGATTTGATTAAGATATAAAAATGCACGACTTCGTTCAAATTCCTTTAAAGAATAAAATACATCAATTTTATGTAACAATGTTAGAAAGCTGTTTATATTATGTTATATCTCTAGTTGTTTATGGGAATCCCACAAGAATATAAAAAAAAAAACAAAATATTTATCAAAGTTCTGGGTTTCAGATGAGGAACGACTGTCAAAATACATTATGAAAGTAATTCATCGATTGATCTACCAGAAATTAGTATTCCCAGAAAGCTCAAGAATGGCAAGAGGACAATGATCAGTACTTGAACAATTACTGTGTAACCTATATACCTACTGTAGATTCAAAAATGATACACCAACTGAGTTGCTGAAACTAATAGAGAATGATAACATAAAAGTACTAGTAAGACTTTTTAATTCAATATATAACACTGGAGTGATTCCGAAATTGGCTCAAATCCATCTTTATCGCAATACCTAAAAAAACACAATGCGAGAAAATGCTCAGAATATAGATTAATTAGCCTAATAAGCCACACTCTTAAAATTTTCCTCAGAATACTTCACAACAGAATTAGCCAAATAGATGACATCAAAAGAATTGCTGGTAATTGGCTTCAGGAAGCTCAAAGACCGAGAGAACAGGAATGAAATTAGGGGAGACCTATGTTCTGGATAATGATGATAATTTGGTCAAATCAATATTTTTACCTTTAATTTTACATAATTGAAAATAAAGTACATAACATTTTGAAAAATGACAATAAACATTGTTGATTATTTATTGTAATAAAAAGCATTTTTAATTTAATTAGAATCAAACTTACTAAAAATTCATACTCACATCATCTGTTATACACATATATAAAATTCTATTTTCTAGGATATAGTGGAAGAGATAGTTCCCATGAGAGTATGTAAGCTTATCATTATGAGGAGGAATCTTAGATATAATTTGTTCAGTAACTTCTCCAAAATTACCAGCACATGTTGCATATTTCACCAAAACAGTACTCCCCCGACAAATAACACTATACAAAATGGGCATCTAAAAAAGAAATGAAAATAAGATATTTTTTATAAAAGATTATTTACCTACCTTGATGCCACTAAAATAATGATAATGAACTAAATAAGTAAAAAAGTCCAGTAAATCGTTTGTTTAGATATTTTAAAATCCTTTGTCACTTCTGGACTCTATGATTTGACAAAAACACAAATATTTGGGTATGAAAGAATTCCACTTTGCACAACAAATTTGTTTCTTTGTGACATACAATAACACGTATGATGGACAGTGATATCGCTGTTTATTTATCTCTATCTCGTTCTAATATTATTTATAACAAATTTTACTGTTATCCTTGTTTTTATTGGAACAACAATACTAAAAAACAATGGGAAATGTCACTGTCAGAATGCTGAACAGCTGGCTCTGTAAGTAGTGACATCTAAGGGAGGAAACTCATACTGGAAAAACCGCCATTTTTTATCCAAATTTTGGGAAATTTTTGCTGAACATTTTAAAATTAATTGCCTCCCTTGTCTTCTACTCTAGTTTTTAAAATACCTTGTTTTTTCGGTTTTTATTTCTTCCAGCAAAAAATTTATACCCGGTTCGCTATTCCCAGTCCGAACTGTATAGTGATTTTAGTAATTATTTTTTTTCGAAGTTAGTAACTTTTTGACAGACTCAAAGTGGCTGGAAATACTATACAACCAAGCATACGTGCTCTTAGTCAATATTAATGTAAACAAAAGTAAATAAAATAGAACTTTGCCGACAATCAATATTTATTTATTTACACCGTATAATGTATTGATAACAAATAATAAAATTATTTATTGTACAAAATAAAAAAGTGGGAATAAATTCTACAAAATTAAGAAGTCAAAGTGAGGTTAAATAAGAATAAGAAACAGCAAGTTCCTTATGTATTTACAACATTTACATAATTCGATAAATACATTTTAATGATCAACTTACCTCAACAGGGTTTTCATTCGGTAAAAAAAAATTGGTAGGCATTTTGAATAAACCTTTGTGCAGTTTTATTACCTTGTAATCTAGGAACAGCATCCTTACTAATCTAAAAATATTAACTTTAAAAAAATCTTTTTAAAAAACATTTTAAATAAATTTATAATAAACCCCCTCTGTGGCTCAGTGGTAAGAGCGCCTACCTTTAAATCTAAAGGTCGTGAGTTCGAATCCCACCTGGGTGGAAATTTTCGTTTATTAAAAAAATTAATAAATGAAAATAATTTCTATCCTTGTGTGATCGGTACACACCGGAGGGACCGCAGACGTTCGGATACAATTAGCGTCTCTTAGCAAAGACAATGACGTCGACTTTGCTAAGTATCAAGACAATTACTCTACACACACACACACACACACACACACACACACACACACACACACAAACACACACACACACACACACACACACACACACACACACACACACACACACACACACACACACACACACACACCACACTACACCTCAAATTGTAAGATTGGCGAATGGATTTAGTGTCCGCAGTCATTTAAAACACAAACAAACAACAACAACAAATTTATAATAAATATATTTTTTTTAAATATTTATTAAGAAAAACTTACCAACGCATTAGCTGATGGAACAAATGGAAAACTTTGACTATCCATAATAATAAAATTTAAAATATAACTAATTAACTGAATAGAACTAACAAAAGAATTAAACAAAGATAATAAAACAATATTAAATTAAATAAACAACGCGAATAATACAAATATTTTACTACAATATTTTAAATTGTAACAATTATAATATATTTTAAAATATACAGGGAAAATTTGATGGGTTTAGTATACACTTCCACTATTTAGAATAATTCTTCTTTTTTTTAAAGAGAGAGGTTGCAATAGTAGTATACTTGAGCTATTTATACTGAGAAGTAGGAATTGTTGTGTTGTAGGTTTCCTACAATGAGTCTGTCAAAATATGCCCTAGCTAAGCGAATAGACAATATACCCGGTTCGCTATTCCCAGTCCGAACTGTCTAGTGATTTTAGTAATTATTTTTTTTCGAAGTTAGTAACTTTTTGACAGACTCGAAGTGGCTGGAAAATACTATACAACAAGCATACGTGCTCTTAGTCAATATTAATGTAAACAGAAGTAAATAAAATAGAACTTTGCCGACAATCAATATTTATTTATTTACACCGTATAATGTATTGATAACAAATAATAAAATTTTTTATTGTACAAAATAAAAAGTGGGAATAAATTCTACAAAATTTAAGAAGTCAAAGTGAGGTTAAATAAGAATAAGACACAGCAAGTTCCTTATGTATTTACAACATTTACATAATTCGATAAATACATTTTAATGATCAACTTACCTCAACAGGGTTTTCATTCGGTAAAAAAAATGGTAGGCATTTTGAATAAACCTTTGAATAAAACCTAAAGCATCCTTACTAATCTAAAAATATTAACTTTAAAAAAAACTTTTTAAAAAACATTTTTTCAATCATATTTATTAACAAAAACTTACCAACGCATTAGCTGATGGAACAAATGGAAAACTTTGACTATCCATAATAACTAATTAACTGAATAGAACTAACAAAAGAATTAAACAAAGATAATAAAACAATATTAAATTAAATAAACAACGCGAATAATACAAATATTTACTACAATATTTTAAATTGTAACAATTCAATATTATAATATTTTAAATATACAGGGAAAATTTGATGGGTTTAGTATACACTTCCACTATTTAGAATAATTCTTCTTTTTTTTCAAAGAAAGAGGTCTGCAATAGTAGTATACTTGAGCTATTTATACTGAGAAGTAGGAATTCTTGTGTTGTAGGTTTCCTACAATGAGTCTGTCAAAATATGCCCTAGCTAAGCGAATAGACAATTATCATGGCATCTTATAAAGGTCGATTCAAACACATCAGTCCCGGCGCCGAACCGGTCGTGTTTGGTCATAGAACTATTAATTATCTGACAGCTGGGAAAACTGTTCGTCAACTGATTAATGTGAATGCCGGCGGCATATTTCTATTAAATAATATTTTGTATGACGGATTGTTCGGTTCGGCACCGGGACTGTGACGAGACGTGACTGATGTGTTTAAATCGACCTTAAAGGTCGATTCAAAAGTTTTTACCATCGAGTAAATGAGTAAAAAGACAACAATTGTCTTTTTGCTCGATGGACGCCGATGGACGCAACAGAGGACGTAGGTACGGAGCGTAAAGGAAGGTTAAATTCAAGTTGGGTTTGAGATCTTGACGGTAAAAGAGGTTGTTTGTAATCTTCAAAGAGAACCGGCAAATTTTGTTTGTAAAATTGTGAATTATACTAAAATAAAATGTGTCAATTTTTGACTGAGTAATCACTGTTTTGTTTTGTGCTGTGTCTCACCTGAGGGATTTGTTAAGGTCTCTGTTACAGTCTCGGCGCCGAACCGGTCTTGTTTGGTCACAGAACTATTAATTATCTGACAGCTGGGAAACTGTTCGTCGCTGATGAATGTGAATGCCGGCGCCATATTTCTATTAAAGAATATTTTGTATGACGGATTGTTCGGTTCGGCGCCAGGACTGTGACGAGACGTGACGGATGTGTCTGAATCGACCTTGTTCCAAACAACTTTATAGTAGAGTAGAGTAGAGTAAATTTTTATTTGCATAAATTTTTAAACATCATTGAGCAAATAACGTCACATTAATTACAGATTAAAAAAATATATATTAATTAAATATGCTTATCAACGGGAAGGATAGGCCAGGCACTCCGCCGACTCCGCCACAGTATAGGGCTCAATGTCAACTAGGTGTGTAAAAACCATTGAGCAATAAGACAAAAGAGGGAATGTAAAGGTAGTGGGGGTAAACATATTGATAGACAGGAAGTGCCATCTTGAGAGGCCACTTTAGACAAGGATAGACAGTCTCTTTCCTTGTTTAAGAAGTCAAATTTAGTTAGGTTATGTTATTGTTTGTCCCAACTGTCACATGAAATTTTATTTATATTGAAATCTTTTACCACTTGTGTCACTTTTTAGACTATTATAGTTAATATTTAATTAAAACTTTCTCGTCTGAAAAATATTTTACAGCTATTGTTAATAAGTGTTGGAAAATTTAAATTTAGCGCCTTTGCATTTCCGGATATGTCCGCCATCAGAGGCCACTTTTTTGGTCTCCTTTTCATAACGATTAGATTCCCTCTTTTATCTTTTTGCTCGATGGTAAAAACCTATCTTTTAAAAGCTCTATAGTGTGCTTCCTGTTGAATGTCAGATGGTAGACTATTATAAAATTTAACACACGCATACAAAGGACTTCTCTGTTATAGACAATCTGTGAAGTGGTAAATTTAAATTAAGGCTTCTTGTATTATGTTCATAATTGGGAAGCAGGTGATAAAACAAAGAAAAATTTTTAAAAAGGAACATAATACATTCAAATATATAGATGGCTGAGAAAGTGAGTATATTGAGTGATTAGAATCAGCCTCTACAGAATTCTCCAGCTGCCTTTTTTGGACTATAAAGACAGTTGAGCTATCTACTGTAGCACCCCAGAAGATTACTCTATATCGCATAACAGAATAAAAGTTTGCATAATATACAGATAGTAAAATTCCTGGTCTAGATAGTTTTTTAACACTAATGAGTAGCCGGCTCTATTCAGTTTTTTTGTTGTATTTTGTATTTGTTCCCCCAAATTCAGATTCTGGTCAATATGAATACCAAGAAATTTAACTGATCTAGCAGGTTCCGTGTTTTGTGATAGAAAATTAATTGTATCTGGAAACTGTTCTCGTGACTGGCTGGTTCTAAAGTAGACAAAAACTGTCTTATCAGTATTAAGCAACAACCGATTTCTACTGAACCACTGTTCAGCATTGCTTAGAATTTACTCTGCCACTGTGTGGAGTGTGTCAGTTTTTTCCCAGAAAAGCACATTTGAGCCCACCGCATTCGAAAGGTCGTTTATGTAGACCAAAAAGAGAAATGGCCCCAGAA